GGCTGCTGTGTCAGCCGCGCTGACAGCTGCAAAGGCTGAGAGTGAGGCGGCAAGGAAGAAGCAGGAGGAGGCAGAGAGGGAGGTGCAACTGGTGCAGGTGCAACTGAGAGATGCACAGAGGGAAGTGGAGAAGGCGAAACGAGGGGTGGTGGAGGCTAGGAGCGTGGGGGACGGAGAGAAGGGAAGAGCAGAGGTAGCTATGAGGCAAGCTGCAGAGGCGTGGGAGGAGGTGGGGCGGTGGAAGGGAGAGGCAGAGCGGAGCAAAACTGATGTTGAGTTGCTAGAGAGGGAGGTGAAGGGGAGGGAGGGGCGGATTGAGGAGCTTAGAAAGGAGGTGAGAGAGAGGGAGAGTGAGGTGGTGGAGTTGCGGCAGGATATGGAGAGAGTGAGAAAGGAGATGGAGGAGGTTAGTGTGAGAGAGGAGGAATTGGCAGCGACGGTGAATAGGGTGATTGGGGAGGAGCAAGGGAAAGTGGCTGTGGTTGAGGAGAGAGTGAGGGAGGTGGAGGGGGAGAAAGAGAAGATGGAGGAGAGAGTGAAGGAGGCTGTTGGGGAGAAAGAGAAGCTTGAAGAGAGAGTGAGGGAGGTGGAGGGGGAAGTGGAGAAGGTGAGGGGGGAGAGGGCGAGGATGGAGGAGGAGGTGGTGAGTGTGAGGGAGAGGGCCGGGGAGGCGGAGAGGGAACTGGACGAGTTGAGAAAGGAGAGGGATGAGCGGAGCAAAGAGTTTGACGAGTTAAATGCCAGCCTGGCAGCTCTCCGTGCTGAGCTGGCATCCGTCCGATCCAAGCTGGAAAGCCGGCATGCTGAGGTGGAAAAGGTGCAGTCTGATCTGGCAGCAGCAACCGGAGACCTGGAAAAGGAAAGGGCAGCAAGGGCAGTGGTAGCAGCAGAGATGGAAGGACTCAAATCCCTGCATGCTCTGCTGCAGGAGGCGCATGGGCGAGTGGTATCAGAGCAGGATCGGCTGGTGGGGGCGTACGAGAGGGAGGTGCAGGAGAAGGGCGAGGTGAAGGCAGAAAAAGCAGCACTCGCTGCTAAGGTTGCCGAGGCGGAGGTCCGGGCCGAAGCTGAGAAGGAGGTACAGGCTCGGGCGGTTGCTGAGGTTCAGGAGATTCGGGATAAGTTCGAGGCCGAAGTAGAGCAGGCTCGGCAGGAGCTGGTTCGGAGGGAGGAGGAGGTGCGGGTGCTGAGAGAGCAAAAGAAAGAGGAGGTTGAATCGTTGAAGCAGCAGCAGCAGGAGCAGCAGCAAAAGCAGCAGCAGGAGCAGGAGAAAGAGATTCAAGCGTTGAAAATGGAGGTGGAGGAGTTGAAACAACAGCAGGCTGTGAGTGTGGAGGATGCAAACACGTGGAAGACAGCTAATGAAGTGCAAGCTGCTGAGCTGGCAGCAGTCAAGGCTAAGCTGGAAACTTCTCAGGCTGAGCTGGCAGAAATGAAGATTGAGCACGAGAGTAAAAAGCGTGAGCTGGCAGCAGCTGCTGACGAAGCGAAGGCGAAAGAAGAAGCCGTGAACGAGAAAGAGGAAATATGCAGCAAGCTGACAAATGAGCTGGAATCGCTGAAATCTGAGCTGGAAATTCGTAACGCTGAGCTGGCAGCGCTGACGGTGAAGGACGAGGGGATGGCAGCGGCAGTGAGGGAGCAGATGCAGGCTCGGAGCGAGGCAGAGGGGCAGGTGAAAGAAGCTCAAAAGGAGGTGCAGCTGGTGCAGGCTCAGCTGGGGGAGGTGCAATCTGAATGTGAGGGGCTGAGGGATGATATGGAGCGGCTTGCGAAGGAGGTGGAGGAGGAGAGGAGGGTAATTGTTGAGAAGGAAAAGGAGGTGGAGAGGATGGTGGGGGAGGTGGAGAGAGGGAGGAATGAGGCTGCAAAGGCGGAGGGGAGAGCAGAGGTGCTGCAAGGGATGGTGGCTGCGCTGACAGTGGAGCTAGGCGCTCTAAGGAAGGAGCTTCAGGAGGAACGGGAAAAAGCATCTATTCGTGTTGCCGCTGCTGCTGCTGCTTCTTCTGCTGACGTGGCGGCCGCTGCTGCAGTGTCAGAGTCGCTGCGTGCCAGGCTGGCAGCGACGGAGGAGAGAGAGAAGGAGCTGGAGCGGAGGGTGGAGGAGAGGGAGCAGCAGCTGGTGCGGGGAGTGGGGGAGGGGGAGGCGAAGGCGGGAGCAGCAGTGAGAGCAGCAGAGGAGAGAGCAACGGAGCTGCAGAGGCAGTTGAGAGAGGAGGAGGCGAAGGTGGTGGCAGTGGTGGCAGGGGCGGAAACAGCTACTGCTGAGGTGGGAAGCCTTAAAGCAGAGATGGCGGAAGTGAGAGCAGCGCTGGGAGCAGCAGCGGGCGAAGTTGAGAAATTGCGAGGCGAGGTGCAGAGAGCAGAGGGGGAAAGCGAGAGGCAGAGGAGCAAGGTGTTGGCAGCAGAGGGGGAAGCAGAGCAGCTGAGAGGTGAGGTGCAGGCAGCACAGGGCGAAGCAGCGGGTGCGAGAGCACAGGCAATGGCAGCGCAGAATGAGGCAGAGACAGTAAGGGCTACACTGCGAAGCACGGAGCAGGAACTCGTCGCAGCGAATACTGATTCAGAGCAGCTGAGGGAGGCCCTGGGGGAGGTGCAGAGGCAGCTGCGCGTGGTGACACGCGTGAAGGAGGCACTGGATGGCGAGGTGCGCAAGTGGAGAGAGGAGGCGGTGTTAAGGCAGAAGGTGGAGAGTACAGAGGAGGGTGGGCAGGCTGAGAGGCGCGTGATTGGGCTGTGGAGGGGCACTGTTGAGGGCGCTCAGCTGCTGCAGCAGCGGCCGGGACAGCAGCTTGGGGGGCAGCAGCAGGGTGGGCAGCAGCAGCAGGGGAGGCTGGCATCGAGTATGTCAGTTGACAGCGGCCAGCTTCTGGGGCACCTCTCAGATACCACCCTTGCACCCCCTCTCCTTCCTGCTCCTCCTGCTCATGCACCTGCTGAAGCTGCTGCTGCTGCTGCTGTTTCTGGCGCCACCACTGCCAGCAGTGCTGTCCCTGCCACCGCACCTGCAGCAGCAGCAGGTTCCCCAGCAACAACTCTCCCTCCGCGCCCCCCCACTCCAGCCTCCGCCCCTCCCAAGGTCTCCCATGCCTCCCAGCCCGTGCCCCTGCTCGCCCTGCCAGTTGGCGCCTCCTCCAGTAGCACCGCTCCTGGAGTGTCCCTCCCAGCTCCACCTGCTGCTGATGGCACTGCAGCAGAAGTGGGCTTAAATGCAGACTGTGTTGCTCCTGAAGGGCTCTCTACACCAGCACCTGCTCAGGACCAGAGTGTCGTGGTGCGTGAGGGTGACGTGATTGGTGGAGGCACTTTGACAGCTGCTGCTTCGTCCGGTTCACCCGCTGCTGCTGATGCCGTGCCTGCCTTGCCAGTCACCCCTGCCACTGCACCAGGCCCTCACACCATCCCTCACTCTGCCACATCCTCTCGCACAGGCACCCCCACTCCCACCCTCGGCTTCTCCCATTTCATCCATCGCTCCAAGACCGAGTCTGCACGGGCACGCCCCTCGTCCGCTGATTTCACCTCTGCAGTCAAAGCTGTGCGCCTCGTTTCCGCGTTTCGCAGCCCTGGTACAGGCAACGCCAGCCCTGCAGCCCAGGGAAGCCCGAGCCGAAGCCGTAGGCCCGGGAGCCCTGGTTCGGCAAGTACAGTGTCGAAGGCGATTGGTAGTGGGGGAGGGACGCTGAGAAGGATTGGCACAGGGATGGTGGGGCGGTGGAGGGGTGGAAGTCAGAGTGCAGGTGGTACCACTGGTGGCAGTGGTGGGGAATCTCAGGCTGAACTGGGGGAGGTTCAGCCTGCACCTACGCCTCGCACTCAGAGTGATGCGCACTAGGCATGGTGCTGGCATATCAGTATCTTTTTAGGCAATGGAACCATATCTAGTTCGTATTGGTTAGCCTAGAATTGTGTTGTGACTCTAATGGTAGTGTATTGGTAGAAGAGAATCTTGCAGAAACCAATTTGGTTTTGGTATAGTATTTTGTTTTTTTGTAGATCAACAACTGTTCCTCAGCCGTGCCCTTTGTTTATTTTCGACTTTTAACGGATCACTTTCCCAGAGTCCCTCAAAGGCTGGAGGGGGCTCCTGGATTCTGGCCCGCGGTCCGCAAGGTGACTGGTGACATGGCCACTTTGGCGGGAAGTTTCAACTGACCCTGATGGGCTGGATTCTTCGTGCCGTTGGGGCTCAGCATGTTGAATTCACGCGGTCTTTGGATGTACATGTTTTCATGGGGCGAAGGTTTTTATTTTCCTATCGTAACTTACGCACCTGCCCGAATCGAATGCACAGAGCCCATTCACGAGAATTGTTTGTGGATTTGCAAGTCTTGCGCTACACTCCAGCTCCCGAAGTTGTGGGATGTGCTGGTTCAACGTGTGTAGGACAGCACGTTTGCGTCCACTGACTGAAATCTGTCTCAGTTTCCGTTTGGTGCCAGACACAGGCAGGCAGGCAGTGCCTGCCATTGCAGCCCTGTGCTGGCTGCTTGGCGGCGCAGTTCCCTTGGTTGTGTTGGCATGGGATCACCTTGGTGCTTGCTGGGCAATCCCCGAGGAGTAGTGCTGCCAGTGGTTCAGTGTCTACAAGAAGTCCATCCATATGCTGCTAAAGCTGGTCATTTACTTGCATCCAAGTCACTAGGCTCTAATAGCTCCTTCATTCCAGCTTCAGCCTAGGTTCGAATAATATTGTTTCGTGAGATTCCGATGTTGCCGTGACTGCCTTCGATGTGCGTTTTCGGGTCAGACGATTTAACTTCAACTTATTATGTTGGGTAGATTTCGGATTTCTCCAGGGCTTATTCCAGCATCCTTTGTCTTTAGCCACAGTAGCATTAACCGCTGCAGCTTTTAGCGAGAAATACTCGACGTTACTTCAGCAGCTTCCGTGGCCTCTATCTGTGATACTAACGAAATTCAGGGAAGACAAGAAGAGATAAGGGATGGCTGACGAGCGGCGGCGGCCCATTCGAGTGTACATGGACGGTTGCTTTGACATGATGCATTACGGTCACGCCAACGCGCTTCGACAGGCCAAGGCGCTAGGCGACGAGCTCGTGGTTGGAGTCGTTTCAGACGAGGAGATTCTCTTGAATAAGGGCCCTCCCGTCGTGTCGCTTGAAGACAGGTGAGGTCGTAGCTTCTCAGGCCCTGAAAAAAAACCTTTGTGTAGTTAATAACAAAAACAAAAAACAAAAAAAAGAGGGAGGAGGGGAGAGGGGATGGATCCATGTGTATATGAACGTCCACCATCTTCCCTCCACCCTCCTCAGGTAGTTCAAGGACAGTTGAGATTCAGATTCGTCGTACCTCGTCGTCGCCGTTGCGCACAGCAGCGCGCTGATCTGGAGGAGCCCGCCTAAACCCCTGCTTTGCCCGACCGCTCCGTGTTACTCCCACTCCTCTCCCACATCCTCCCCTAACCTTGAACGCACGCGCACCCGCACCTCCCCTCGTACGGCATCCCACCAGCTTTCCTCCACCACCTCTTCTCCACCGCGTGTTGGGACCTCTCAAACCACCCCTCTCCCCTTCTCGTCAATGCAGAATGCGCAGGGAGCGTCTGAAAGTTAAAGCAATTAGAAACATCACCTACGAACAAATAACCCCTTCTTGTCCCCCTTCCCCCTACGCCTCACCTCTCCAAGCACCCACCACCGCGTCGACTTCATCGTCCCCTCTCACTGCTCGTCCTCCCACTCCCCTTCTGCACCACCCTTCCCCATTCCCTCCCGCTGTAGAGTGCGCATGCTGCGCGAGGTGAAGTGGGTGGACGAGGTTGTGGTGGGAACACCGTACTGCATAACACCGGCCTTCCTGCACCGCCTCTTCACGCACCACCGCGTCGACTTCATCATCTCTCTCTCTTCTACCCCCACACTTCTCCCTCTTCCACCTTCCCCCTATTCCCCCCCTGTAGAGTGCGCATGGTGCGGGAGGTGAAGTGGGTGGACGAGGTCGTAGTGGGCACGCCGTACTGCATTACGCCCGCCTTCATGCACCGCCTCTTCACGCACCACCGCGTCGACTTCATCATTCACGGCGACGACCCCTGCCTGCTGCCCGACGGCTCCGACGCGTACGCGGAGGCCAAGCAGGCGGGGCGCTACCTGGAGGTGCGGCGCACGGAGGGGATTTCGAGTACGGATATCGTCGGCCGCATGCTGCTCTGCGTGGGCAGCCGCACGGCCGCCACGGAGGCCCAGCAGCAGCAGTCGCTGGAGCGCGAGTTTGCTCACACGGGTTCGCCGTCGCCCTCGGAGCAATGTAAACGCTCTGGATCGCCCCATGCAGGGTCGCCACGCATTGGATCGCCGTCGCTTCCGCCTCGACCTTCGTCTCCGCTCCCACCCCCAGCCGTCCTCTCCGCCTCCCCCGTTCCATGCTCGCCCCTGCGACCCTCTCTCCTTCCGTCCTCCTCCCCTTCCCACGCACCATCTACTGAAGCCGCGTCGTCACCTGCGCAAGCCCCTGGCGCTCCCTCCCTCCACCGCGACTCTCCCCCCTCCTCCCCAACCTACCCGTCCCGCTCCCCCGCGCCCCTCCCCGCGCGCTCCCCGCTTTCACTAGCGCCAGCGCCCTCGGAGCAATGTAAACGCTCTGGATCGCCCCATGCAGGGTCGCCACGCATTGGATCGCCGTCGCTTCCGCCTCGACCTTCGTCTCCGCTCCCACCCCCAGCCGTCCTCTCCGCCTCCCCCGTTCCATGCTCGCCCCTGCGACCCTCTCTCCTTCCGTCCTCCACCCCTTCCCACGCACCATCTACTGAAGCCGCGTCGTCACCTGCGCAAGCCCCTGGCGCTCCCTCCCTCCACCGCGACTCTCCCCCCTCCTCCCCAACCTACCCGTCCCGCTCCCCCGCGCCCCTCCCCGCGCGCTCCCCGCTTTCACTAGCGCCAGCGCTGCCGTCGTCTCCGTCCGCCGCATCTCTTCCCTCCTCCGCCTCCTCCGGCTCCCTCTGGCCACTCTCCGCCTCCCCCTCCTCCTCCGCCGCCTCCTCCCCACTGCTCCCCCCGTCCCTCGCGCCCCTCGCCTCCGCGCGGGTGTCGCGCTTCCTTCCCGCCACCTCCACCGTCCTCGAGCTCCACAGCCAGCAGGTACGTCGGGGCCGCGGGCGGGGGTGGGTGGGAGAGGGGAAGTCGGGTGGGAGGTGACAGACGATTTGGGTGACTCTTGATTCTTCCCCGAGGTAATTAATGACAGGTGACGGACGATTTGGGTGGCAAAGCGACGGCCTATTGGTCCTTCTCCTCGCTCTTTTTATCTCTCCGGTGCCTCCCCTCCCTCCTTTCATCACACTCTCCTTCGTTCCCTCCTTTCTCCTTTCTCGGTTTCCGCCTTCGCCCGTCCCCTTCCCCCTGTGTCCGCGCGCCCAGCCGCGCAGCATAGACCCGTCAGCGCGCGTGGTGTACATCGATGGGGCGTTCGACGTCTTCCACAGCGGCCACGTGCAGGTAGGGCTCACCACAGGCCACGTGCAGGTGGGGCAGGCGACGTGCAGGTGGGGCAGGCGACGTGCAGGTGGGGCAGGCGACGTGCAGGTGAGGTCCGGCACATGTCTTTCTGTGTCCTTCTTACCATTCCACATTGTTGCATACCATTCCATACCGTTTGGTTACGTACTAAAGGAAAGAAAGCTAGAAGCAAACCGTACTCACCAGCTCTCTACTCCCCCCCACCCCCCTCCCTCCCCACAGACGCTACGAGCAGCGAAGGAGCTGGGCACCTTGTTGCTGGTGGGCGTGCACAGTGACAGCTTGGACGGCTGCACCTCTCCCTCTCCCTCCCCACACAGACGCTTTCAGCAGCCAAGGAGATGGGAACGTTTCTGCTGGTGGGCGTGCACAACGACGCCACAGTGCGGGCGAACCGGGGGCAGCACCACCCCATTGTGGACCAGCACTCACTCCCCTTCCCTCTGCTCCCCCCCATGCTGCTTCGTCATGCCCCCCCTTTTTCCCACACAGACGCTACGAGCAGCCAAGGAGCTGGGAACGTTCTTGTTGGTGGGTGTGCACAGCGACGCCACGGTGCGGGCGAACCGGGGGCAGCACCACCCCATCATGGGCATGCACGAGCGCTGCCTCTCTCTGCTCGCCTGCCGCAGCGTCGACGAGGTTGTGCTGGACGCCCCCTGGGTCGTCTCGGACCAACTGGTATGTTCCTGATGCGTTCTGGTGCTGTGGGTCTCGCCTCGTGGTGTATGGATGACACCAGCTTGTGCTGGACGCCCCCTGTGTCGTCTCTCATCAGCTGGTAGGTGGGCATGAGTGAAAGCCGTGCTGCTGTCTCTCATACCTCACGCCCTCCCGCCTCATGCCCCCCCATGCCATTCGCATGCTCCAGCATGCTTGCATCGCCCACCCCATCCCTCATGCTTCCTCTCTGTGCCAGCTATCTTTCTTACAAGTTCCAACTCCCCCCCTTGCTGCTCCTGCATTGCCCCTCTCCGTCACGCCCCTGTATGTGTGTGTGGATGCGCCATGGCACACAGATAGCAGCGTACAACATCTCCCTCGTCGTGCACGGCACTGTCGCTGAGTCCAACCCACTCTGCCAGGTACCCTGCCCTGCCTGCTTCTCTCCCTCCTCCTCTGCCCCGTGCTCCATGTCCCATTGTGCCCAGGGCCACGGCTCATGTACCCCTTGCCTATTGCCCACGGCTCATGCACCCCATGCCTATTGCCCACAGCACATGCACCCCATGCCTCCCGTTGAGCTCCCCGTTATGCCACATGCCAAAGTCCGTCTGCTCCGTTCCCCAACACCACATCCCTCACACATATCCCTGCCTCCCCCTCTCATACTTGCACCATCTGCTGCGCTCTTGTGGTGGCACTGGCAGGGCGAGGAGCAGCGGTACGCGGCGGCGAGGGCGAGGGGCATGGTGAGGGAGGTGCAGAGCGCTGCAGAGACCACCACCACCACCATCGTCACCCGTATCGTTGACAACCACCACGCTTACGTTGTGAGTCCCATCGCCATCACCGCCACCTTGACTGCCACTTGTGTTTTGTGTGTATGGTCACCATCTGCATCACCGCGCCCATGACATGTGCAATCTGATCTGAGAACCACAACTTCCACTACGGCCACCACCACTTGTGCTCTGTGTGCTACCTCTCCCCCCCACGCTGCTACCTCTCTCCCCATCCTCTCACATCGCTGCTCTCTCTCCTTCTCCCCACTCTGCATCGCTGCTGCAGCGCCGGCATGCGAAGAAGGCAGGGAGTGAGCGTGAATACATGGAAGCCAAGAGAGCCCGAGCAGCGGTTGCCTCGTAACACTGGTGCTGCCTTTCCAGTCCCCTCAAGCGAGCAGGAGTACCATACCTGACTACAAAAAAAAAGAGACCTTGAGCAGTGGTTGCCTCATGAGTCATGACACTCTTGCTCCCCCCCCTTCACTGATGGTGCCTGCAGTGAGATGCCGCAGTGTAGTAGCTGCGGCTGATTACCTGTAGTGAAGTATCAGGTTTGTAGTGGTGTAGTGCAGTGCGAGCAGTCTTACCAGTGGTAGCAAGTAGTGCGGCTGCAGAGTCCAGACATGTGTTGGTATTGAAACTCAGTAATAATGTTGTCCTCATCATTAGAGCCCGGCAGCATGCCCCGCCAGCTGCCCACTTATTATCATATCTCTGCCGGCAGCCGGTGATTTAAGTGGCAAATGGCTACAGTGCTGACTGCTATGGAAAGGGACACTTGCGAATTACAGTTGCACTGAGAATAATGATCAATTGACTGTAAAAGCCACTTGGTGAGGACTACTTCAGGTAACCTGCCAGCAGCTAGGGAGGTGTACAAGTTGGCAAGCAGCACTCACCACCACCCTCTGCTGATACCCTCCCAGGGAGGAAAGGCCTCCACCAGACAGTCTGGAGGAAAGGTCTCAAATCAGTCTGGGTTACGACAAAGCATTGTCCGACAACCTATGGTGGCTTTACAGAGCCCCCTAATGTCCCTCGAAACCCTCGCATGGCCGCAGAGAGAGACCCTCCAAGACTGGTGTGACGCGGATGTGGCGCCTAAAATGTCAGGCTGAGGGGACGATGAGGTATCTAGTAACTATAGCTTCTATGTTCAGGTAAGTCTGTCACAACACAAACCACATAAGAGATGTTAGCTAGTAACTCTCTCACGTGGTGCATTCAATGCTTCTGCTAATGTTTCTCAGGTTGAGGCTGAAGGGCAGATACGTTAGCTAGTAGCCTTAGCCTGTCAGCAATGGTGGTGCCCTTCACAACACAAGCCACACATAAGGGTAGAGACTCTCTAGCATGCTGCAATGCACCTGCAGGGTGCTTATGCTCCTCAGGGTAGAGGCTGCAGAGCAGAGGCGTTAGCTAGTAGCCGTAGCTGGTCGGCAATGGTGGTGTCCCGCACAGTCACACGTGGACCTCCCTAGAGTGGTCCCTTTTACTCCTAATGGCCCTTATGGTTCAGGCTGAGGGGCAGAGGCGTTAGCTAGTAGCCGGAGCTGGTCAGCAATGGTGGTGTCCCGCACAAACCACACATCAGGGTAGAGACTATATAGAATGGTGAGATGCTCCTGATGCTCCTGATGCTCCTCAGGGTAGAGGCTGCAGAGCAGAGGCGTTAGCTAGTAGCCGTAGCTGGTCAGCAATGGTGGTGTCCCGCACGAACCACACGTGGTCCTCCCCAGGCGGCACAAGGGTTTGGCAGTGCACGTTGACTGGGTTGACCACGCCAGGCAAATGGAAGTGCCGCAGCTCCGTGCCTGCGTTCAGCACCACACCGCCCTTCTCGGGCTCCCGTGCCTTGTGGATAGACATCACCTCTGTCTGAAGGGTGGAACGGGGGGATAAGGGGATAAGGGGAGGTCGGGGAGCGTGCATTTAAGAATGAGATGAGGAAATGGCACGCTTGCACCACGCTGCCCTTCTCGGGCTCGCGTGCCTTGTGGATGGACATCACCTCCGTCTGGAAGGGTGGATTGGGTGGATAAGGGGAGTGAACAAGGGGAGGTTGGGGAGCGTGCATTGAAGAATGAGATGAGGAAATGGCACGCTTGCACCACGCTGCACTTCTCGGGCTCCCATGCCTTATGGATGGACATCACCTCCGTTTGGAAGGGGGGGATTGGAGTGACAATCAAGGGGATGAGAAGCAAGGGGATGGGTTAGCAAGGAAGAAGAGTGTTGGTGGTTATGCGTTCAGCACCACCGCTGCCCTTCTCGGGCTCCCGTGCCTTGTGGATGGACATCACCTCGGTCTGAGAGGGGGAATGGGGGTGAGAAGCAAGGGGATGACTGATTGGTGAGGATGTGTTTGGCACAACACCGCCCTTCTGCGGCTCCTAGGCCACGTGGATGGACACCACCTCGGTGTGGAGGGTGGGAGATGGGATGACAAGTGCGGGGATGAGTTCACAAGAACGGGGAGTGATTGGTTGGGTGGGGAGTTTTTCCGCACCGCGCCGGCCTCCTTTGGTTCCCCTGCTACGTGGATAGACAAGACCGAGATTTGGAGGGGGAAATGGGTGGATAAGGAGAGTGAATAAGGGGAGGATGCAGAGCGTGCACTGAAGATGACATGACAAGAGAGGGGAACGAGAGCTAGAAGGGTAGATCTTGTAAGGATTTTATAACGAGAATGACATGACAAGAGAGAATCAGCTTCCGGTGGCCTTGCCAGTCGTCACACCGGTCCCCATCCATCTGCTGTTCTGCTCCACTGAGGGGAAAATGTGAACCATAAAGATGCATCTGGGAGCGAGAAAATGAGTCTCCTAGGAGGGAGCAGGAATCCTGAGAGGGCAGGGCGTGTCACCTTGCGGGGGTTGAGAATCAGTTTCCGATGGCCCCGCCAGTCATCACAGAGGTTCGAGTCAATCTGCTGCCCCTCCGCTCTGTCCCGCACGCACCACACCTCCGGCCGGCGGAACACCAGTCTGGACAGCACCTCAATGGCGCGCCTCTTCGCCTCCGCCACTGCAGCTTCGTCCCACTGCGCCTCACCACCCTGCATGCCGTTTCCTGCTGTCCCTGGTGCTGTCTCTTCGTGGCTGTTGCTGGCGTTCACTGCTGCTCCAGCCTCCCTGGTACCACCACCAGCCGCCACAGCAGCAGCGTCAGCAGGCGCCACCGCAGCAGCCCCAGCAGGCGCCAGTGCCCCCTCCCTTTCCTCTTGGCACATGGAGGGTTCGACAACGAGGGCGCCGTGGGAGAGCCAGGGGGCGTGGGCGTGGGTGGCTAGCAGCGAGTGCAGGGAGTGGGGAGGCACGGGGGAGAGGAACTCGTCGGTGTCGTGTAGAGTGACCCAGCGAGAGGTGAGGAGCGACCGGAATATGCAGTCGTTGCCTGCAAGGGTCTGGTGGTGGGAGAGGGTATGGGAGGGAAGAAGAGGTGTGTGCGGAATCAGGAACTAGAATGGGAGTGCACCCTGTGGCGGCACAGGGGAGAGGAGCTCGTCGGTGTCGTGTAGAGTGACCCAGCGAGAGGTGAGGAGCAACCGGAATATGCAGTCGTTGCCTGCGAGCGTCTGGTGGGAGGTGTAAGGTTTGTATATAAATAAGTATATGTACACATATATGTATATATGGATACGTGTACGTGTATGTATGCATATACAAAAGAGTTTTTATGCTTGAAAACAAGCTCAAAACTGTCTCCCACCGACCTGGTGTTTCGTGATAAAGCTCCCACCTCCCGACATGTCCTCAAAACAGTCTCCCACCTCCCACCGACCTGGTGCTTGGTGATGAAGCTCAGCGCCCCCTCCCCCGCATGAAACCCGAACCGCTGCCCTCCCGACATGTCTGTAACGGCCGCTATGCCGGCAGCAAAGTAGGGCGCGAAGAGTGCCGAGAGGGCGGGCGACCAGGCAGCCATGTCGTAGAAGAGGAAGCGGGAGACGTTGGCGTGCACGCGGTGGTACTCCGGCCATGCCCACACGGGCCCGGCGTCCAACGTGCCGTAGAGCGGCTGGGAGCACCACGTGAGGTGCACGGGGAGAGAGGCGTCTGGTGGGGGTTCCAAAGGCTGCGGTTGGGGGGGACAGACGGGAGAACACGAGAAATTGGGAGTGGGGGAGATGGGGGTGGGGGGCGGAAAAGCGAGGGGAAGGGGAGGGGAGTAGAAGAGTGGCTGAGGGAGGCGTGCACGCGGTGGTACTCCGCCCATGCCCACACGGGCCCGGCGTCCAACGTGCCGTAAAGAGGTTGTGAGCACCACGTGAGATGGACAGGGAGAGAGGCGTCCGGAGGGGGCTCAAGGCTGCAGTTGTGGGGGGCGGAGGGTGGTGGCAAGGGCGATTGGGGAATGGGGAGGGGAAGGGGAGGGGGGGGAAAGGGGAGGGGAAGGGGAAGGGGAAGGGGAGGGTAAGGGGAAGGGGAGGGGAGTCAAAAAGTGTGGTGCTGGATGCGTGATTTTTTAAAATAATAAAGGAGTGAATCCAATCCTCTATTGGATTAGTTTGCCCCATACCCGCTGTCCTCCACAACATTTCACCTTCCCCCGCATCTCACCTACCCCGCATCTCACCTGCCTCAAATCTCGTCTCCCCCGGCCCCTCATTGAAGACGGCAGCCTCCACACCGTCCATGGTCATCAACAGATAGTTGGTGAGCCTTAGAGTCAACTCAACACGCATCCAACCTCCCCCAGTTTCCACCTCCCTCGAATCTCACCTGCCCCGGCTGCTCGTTGAAAACAGCAGCCTCCACACCGTCCATGGTCATCACCAGATAGCCGCCCGCCCGGGACGTGTTGCCCCACAGCTGGCAGAACGCTGCTAGCGAGTCAGTCTGTAAGGGGGATGAGCGGAAGCGGGTGTAGAGGAAAGGGGAGGGAACCCGAGGATGAATATTTTCGTTATTGAGTCCGTCTGCAGGGGGGACGAGGGTGAGGACATGGAGAGGGAAAGGGGAAAGGGTTGGATAGAAAATTCGTGACCAGGCGAGTCAGTTTGAAACGAGGATAAGGGGAAGTGTGAGTAAGTGGTGTGACTTGAAGCACCTTAGTTTTGGGGCGCATGAAGTCTCTGTACCACACTGAACCGTTCAATCTGCTGCCGTCTCGCCCCACCCATCGGCAGCCCTCCCCTTCCGTCACCCACAAGAAATTGAGGCTGCTTATACCGAGTACGACGAAGCGAGAGGGGCTGATGCGGTAGGCGCTGGGGGGATGGAGAAATGGGAGAGTAGTGGTTGATGGGGATGGAGAAGAGGAACGGGCCGGATAGAGGATGGGGAATGAGTGAGTGAGTGTGTGAGTGAGGGACGAGGGTACGAGGGAGATAAGGCAGGAGAGAGCTTGGCCGTGTACATACATACGACATTGACTATGGCAGCACCTGAACTCGTAGAGGAATCGCAGCTGCACCTGAACTCGTAGAGGAATGGCAGCAGCACCTGAACTCGTAGAGGAATGGCAGCAGCACCTGAACTCGTAGAGGAATGGCAGCAGCACCTGAACTCGTAGAGGAATCCTCTCTGCTGGTAGGTTCGTTGCCTCCACTGCCGCGCTTCCGCCTCAAGCACCCTCGTCACAGTCACGTCCGACCGGTTTCGCCGGCGCCGCGCTTCCATGGCCTCCGTGTAGCGCTGCCGGCCGCAAGGGCACACACACACACGGGCACGGACGGACGCACGCACAGGCAGGTTCAGAGGCACCCACACACACACGCACGCAGAGGGGGGAGGAGAGAGCATGGGAGTGGAGAACGTTTTTAGACTTCTCAAGAATTGCGCTCACAATGGAGGGGCGGGGTGGGCCACTCCACCGACCGTTCTCAACCACTGTCACCTCCGTCCAGTCACACCGCATACCGCACTATCCCCCACACTGCATACCGCACTATCCGCCACACTGCATACCGCACTATCCGCCACACCGCATACCGCACTATCCGCCACACCGCATACCGCACTATCCGCCACACCGCATACCGCACTATCCGCCACACCGCATACCGCACTATCCGCCACACCGCATACCGCACTATCCGCCACACCGCATACCGCACTATCCGCCACACCGCATACCGCACTATCCGCCACACCGCATACCGCACTATCCGCCACACCGCATACCGCACTATCCGCCACACCGCATACCGCACTATCCGCCACACCGCATACCGCACTATCCGCCACACCGCATACCGCACTATCCGCCACACCGCATACCGCACTATCCGCCACACCCCATACTGCACTATCCGCCACACCGCATACCGCAATACCCGCCAACCGCATTATCTGCCACACCGCATTACCCCCCACACCTTACTATCCGCCACACCGTATTATCCGACAGCGCTTCATCACTCACCGATAGCTGCGCCGGAGTCTGCACGTCATCCGGCGCTTCATTTTGCTGCTCCTCCTCGCCGCGCTTCTCTCCGCCAACTCCGTCATCTCTATCGCGCGCCTCTCCGCCATCTCCGCCGTTCCCGCTTCCTGCCTTATGCGCTACTGCCACGGCTTCAAGTGCGGGACATGGGGCATTGCCGACGCCGGCGGTGCTGTTTGGAGCGGCTTGGCGCGCAGCGACGGAGGAGGGCGAGGAGGAGGAGAGGACGGAGGAGCGGAACCGGAGGAGAGGGGAGGAGCGGGAGAGGAGTAGTGGGGAGAGGAAAGGAGTCAATGCGTCTTGGACTAGGGCCTGATTGACAAGAGATGGACAGGAAGAAGAGGGGAAGGCGTGGTTTGGGCTATAGAGCAGCCTCGAGCAGCCTCCACTCTAGCCAAGAGTGGAGGAGGAAAGTGCAAAAATCCTCTGGCCCCCAAATGTGGCCTCCTACCCTTTCCCCACTGCGTGGAGACAGTCGCTCGATGGGAGGCACTGACGTGTGCCTCTCACCGCGATCGAGCAGCGCGTCGGCTGGCTATGCGGCGGCGCCGTCTCAGAACTTGATGGCGATCACTATGCAGTTTTAATGTAGCCTATACGTGGCTTGTATCGGTCCATTGCTCTATTCGGCGTGACGTACCCCGCACACTAGCAGCGTCATCAGCGCGCCGAGCGTCGCGGCCGCGTGTATGCCCCACCCGTGCTGCGAGCTCTTAAAAGGTGGACACGTCATCATCCTTCGATCCCAGGTCTGGGTTTATGACTTCAGCAGAGGAGCTGTGACTTCTTATGAATACTACCTAGTAGCTGCTCGAGTGTGAGTTAGTACCGGCTCGAGTGTGAGCTAGTAGTGGCTCGAGTATGAAGAGACGAGCGTGTCTCGAAGTCTTTCCGCTACTTACTAGTTGTTGAGGCAAAGGGTGAAATACTTCTGCCACTTCAGGAAGACGTGGGGTGGGTGGGATAGCTACCTGGCTGGTGGCATTATGGAGTGACAATCTGGTGCGTGTCGAGTCGCGGTGTTTTTATAGGATCGAAGCGCGTGAAATCAAGAATCGTGGGGCTGGATGGTTGTTGTTGATTTGTCATTGGCGCACGAACGGGAACGACAGCACCACGATGACGCACACTCGCTCAGAGCTTGTCGCATGCTTGGTAACACGCATGTCCCTCTTTGTACCGAGTACAGAAGTAAATTGTAGCGCACAAGTTCACTATTGGACAAGTGTTAATGCAGTTGTAAGGATGGTTGCATCATATAGCGGAACACTGTAACACGCAGGCCAGAGTATGATATTGCAGTAGACACATGAGAATTCTAACAACAGTCAAACAAATACAGAAATAGGCTAATGAATTGTATTTTCAAGCAAGAGAGATGCGCTTGTCATGAATCGGCAGAGGCTGTGGCGTCTGGGCCTCGTGTGGGTGCGACTCGCCCTTGTACACCTTGAAGTGTGTGAATAGGCGGCGACCCAACTGGTGTGGAAAGAGAGGGCAGAAAACCGAAAGAGACACATTAGTCAATACTCCATAGCAACTGGAGTGAAACAACAGTCAATACTCCCTTGTTTCTAGTGTGGAGGGTCAATAAGGTGTGTTTGTACACAGCATGCCCCACACAACATGCACCACACAACATGTCCCACACCATATATCCCATACCAGCATGCCTACACAGCATACCCCATCAAAACGCTTCAGAACACTTCCAAGAATGGAGCTTAAGTCGTGTTTTGACATGCCCCCACCTCACTACCCCACCCCTGTGTTAATGTTAGCCCTCAAATCTCACATTTTGTACTTGCACTTCTATATCCTAGTGTACTGTGTACTTTGTGTTTGGTTGAGTGTACACCCACATCCCAACCAAACCCAAATGTGATCTCCAAGCAATCTCCAACCCATCAATTGGAGATTGCCTTGGAATTACCCCCAATCCCCTAGGATTGCCCCCACCATTCTTACCTTGCCCATTTCTGATGTACTTAAAGAGCCTTGAGCTCATCACTAATGCATGGATTCTAAGCTCAAGTTCTGACACCCTGCCCTCAACCCCATTCACCACCACCCACCAGCCCCTTGGGCAGCATGCTTCGCACGTCCTGGTCCACTATTCGCTCCATGATGTGGCTCTTTTCTCTGTCAATATTGTCAGAATCCCAACCACAAGACCATTGGGATAAAATGGCTTGTTAAGTAGCGGGTCAGTGCGCCCATAACCCCTCAGGACAACGAGCCTGTAACCCTTCCCTAGGATCAATCGGGGATAACCAGTGGACCTCTGACAAATATGTCACTCAGCCAAACGGCCAAGCCCAGCGTCGCCCACATACCCAGCTCAATCCCCAAGTTTCCTGGCACAAAGAGCATCCGACCCTTGGGCAGCGCCCCACACGGCATGCTCCATGATCCTCCGAGGGACGCAGCTGTATCAATCATACTGCCCCTTGTATAACCTCACCACCCTGCCCCACCCCCAAGCCCCCCAGGGCGCGGCTCGGCCCTTGAGCAGCATGCCCCGCACGGCGTGCTCCACATTGATTTCCGGGTTGCGTATCAGTACCTTTGATACACCACCACCCAGCCTCACCGCCACCACCCAACCCACCCCACACGCCCTGCCCCGCCCCCAGCCCCTGTTCCCCTCAGCTCACCCGGCCCTTGGGCAGCATGCCCCGCACGGCGTGCTCGACGATGCGCTCGGGGATGCGCGCCTGCACCTGGTGGAATGTCTCCTCCGTCATCCCGCCCGGCCGCCCCGAGTGCTGCCGGTAAATCTTCTGCGCGCGCTTCTTGCCCGTCACCGCCACCTTCTCCGCGTTCACCTGGTGGGGAAGAGGTGGGGAGAGGGAGAGGGTAGGGGTGAAATGGGAAGGTAGGGCTCTAAGGATTGAGCTCGAATGCAGCAGGTACACAGTTTGCGTCTTCCACGCCAGCGTCATCCACTCCCGCGTTCGTGTGGCAGTCAGAAAAGGCGAGAATAAGGACGACGAAGGGCGTTGGCGACAGTGGCTTCAAACCCTAACACACGACACAGCCGTCGCTCCCAAACACTCATCACGATGACGTACGCGCCCATGTCGACGGACGGCGTGTACGTGGGCTGGTCCTTGCCACGGATATGGTTCGCGATGGTGGAGGCGAGGCGGCCCAGGCGCTTGTCGGTGGCGTCGACGATGTACCACTGCTTCTCCACGTTCAGATGGTTCGCCTCCTTCGGGTAGTACGTGCGGTTCCACTCGTCCTGTAGATGAGCAGAAAGGCGGTGATATCCAGGGATGGGGGGTGAGGGGGAATGTACCACTGCTCCGCATTCAGGTGGTTCGCCTCCTTCGGGTAGTACGTGCGGTTCCACTCACCCTGTCAGTGAAAGAGGAGCGGGAGGTATCCGTGGTGGAGTGGAGGGGGAAGAGGGGGAAGAGTGGAGGGGGAGGTACCTCTCTCCCGCTCCCCTCACACCACTGCTCTCCTGCCCCCTCCCCTCACATGGCTGCTCTCCTGACCCCTCCCCTCGCTGCATCATTGCTGCAGCGGCGGCATGCAAAGAAGGCAGTGAGCAAGCGGCAGTACATGGAAGCAAAGAGGGCCCGAGCAGCCGTCGCTGACCCTGGTGCCGCCTTCCCAGGCGCCTTGAAAGTGAGGAAGGGAGCACCTGGGTGGACTCAAGGAGAGCCGCGCAGTTGTTGCTTCGTGACACCCGTGGCATGGCCTCCATTTCGTTCACAGATGCACCTGCAGTGAGTTGCTGCAGTGGAGGAGCCGTGAAAGATTACGTTTAGTGGATGACCAGGTTTGCAGTGGTGTAGTGCGGTGTGAGCTGTCTTGGCAGTGGTAGTGGTAGGAGCGGAAGCGGTGCACCCGCTGGGTGTAGAAATGTGTTGCTATTGAAACGCAGTGGTGGCATTATCCTCGGCAATATTATACCCGTATGCCTGCCAGCAGAGTGGCTCGTTTTACCTCTGTTGCCACTGCCAGCTACTGATTCAAGAGTGCTAAAAGTCTTTAGACTGCAAAAAAAATGTGACACTTCAAATTACAGTTCCACTGAAAATAAAATTCTCTTAAGCTTCAGGCTGTGGAGACAAGCCGTTAGCTAGTAAGTCATAGTTGAGGCTGACGGGGGGGTGGGTAGACCACTAGCGTAGTAGCTGTAGCTTGTCTGCCACTGTAGTAGCTGTAGCTTGTCTGCCACTGTCAGCAACAGTGGTGTCCCACACAAACCACACAAGAGTAGAAACTCCCTAGAGTGGTACGATGCTCCCCCTGCTTCTCAGGGTTCAGGTTGAGGGGCAGAAGAGTTGACTAGAAGCCGTAGCTTGTCAGCAACAGTGGTGTCCCGCACAAACCACACGTGGGACTCGCCGGGCGGCACTATAGTTTGGCAGTGTGCATTGACCGGGTTGACCACTCCAGACAAATGGAAATGCCGTAGCTCCGTTGCTGCGTTCAGCACTACTCCGCCCTTCTGTGGCTCCCGTGCGATGTGGATAGACATAACCTCCACCTGAAGGGGAATGGGGGTGACAGGCAACGGGGATGACAGGCAAGGGGGTGATGGGTGATTTGCGGGGATGCACTCATCACCACTCAGCACCATTCAGCGCCACGCAGCACAACGCAGCACAACGCAGCACCACGCAGCACCACGCAGCACCACGCAGCACAACGCAGCACAACGCAGCACCACGCAGCACCACGCAGCACCACGCAGCACCACGCAGCACCACGCAGCACCACGCAGCACAACGCAGCACAACGCAGCACCACGCAGCACCACGCAGCACAACGCAGCACAACGCAGCACCACGCAGCACCACGCAGCACCACGCAGCACCACACAGCACCACGCAGCACCACGCAGCACCACGCAGCACCACGCAGCACCACGCAGCACCACGCAGCACCACGCAGCACCACGCAGCACCACGCAGCACCACGCAGCACCACGCAGCACCTGCTAGGAGGGTGAGAGGCCGTCTCACCTTGCGCGGGTTGACAATCAGTTTCCGGTGGCCCCGCCAGTCCTCACACAGCTCTGAGTCAATCCGCTGCCCCTCCGCCCTGTCGCGCAAGCACCACACGTCTGGGTGCCGGAACACCATTCGCGATAGCAGCTGCACGGCACGTCTCTTTGCCTCCGTCCCTGCAGCTTCATCCCACTGCATCTCAGCACCCTCCGTGCCGTTCCCTGCTGTTCCCAGTGCTGTCTCTGCGTGCCTACTTCTGGCGTTCACTGCCGCTCCAGCCCCCCGGGCACCACCACCAGCAGCCTCCACTGCAGCAGACCCACCACCCACAACACCACCAGAGTCAGCAGGCACCACCGTAGCAGCCTCAGCAGGTGCGGGTGCGTCCTCCCCCCCTTCCCCTTGGCAGACAGAGGGCTCGACGGCGAAAGCACCATGTGAGAGCCAGGGGGCGTGGGCGTGCGTGGCGAGCAGCGAGGGCAGGGAGTGCGGGGGGACGGGCGCGAGGAACTCGTCTGTGTCGTGGAGGATCACCCAGCGCGAGGTGAGGAGCGATCGGTATATGCAGTCGTTGCTGGCTAGGGTCTGGTGGGTGGGAGGGGGTGTATAAGGGAAGAAGAGGTGTGTGTGGAATTAGGTGCTAGAATAGGCGTGCACATGTCTCAGCAGAAGAGAGGAACTCGTCTGTGTCGTGGAGGGTCATCCAGCGCGAGGTGAAGAGCGATCGGTATATGCAGTCGTTGCTGGCTAGGGTCTGGTGGGTGGGAGGGGGGAGTGAAGAAGAGGTGCTGAATGCGGTACTCGATTCGCGGAATGAGGTACTGAGATCGCCCTGTGCCTGTGACGGCACGGGCAAGATGAATTCGTTGGTGTTGAGCAGTTTTGCTTGAGGCGCCTCAAAACTCGTTGGTGTCGAGCAGTGTGCCCCATCGAGAGGAGAAGAGGTGCAGTTGCTGCCTGCTAGCGTGTGGTGGGAGACGTAATATATGCAAGGATTTAATCAATGTACGCATGTATGGAAATGTATTCATGGAAATGTGTACGTATGTACGTATGCAGTTACATAAAGGTGTATATGCTTGAAAAGAAGCTCAAAACAACCCCCCCCACCGACCTGGTGCTTGGTGATAAAGCTCAGCGCCCACTCCCCCGCGTGAAACCCAAACCGCCGCTCTCCGGACACGTCTGTAACAGCAGCCATGCCGGCAGCAAAGTGCGGCGTGAAGGGCGCCGTGAGGGTGTGTGTTGATCGACTCAAAACACATTTGGTGCTTGGTGTGAAGCTCACCTGGTGCTTGGTGTGCAGCTCACCTGGTGCTTGGTGTGCAGCTCACCTGGTGCTTGGTGTGAAGCTCACCTGGTGCTTGGTGTGAAGCTCACCTGGTGCTTGGTGTGAAGCTCACCTGGTGCTTGGTGTGCAGCTCACCTGGTGCTTGGTGTGAAGCTCACCTGGTGCTTGGTGTGAAGCTCACCTGGTGCTTGGTGTGAAGCTCACCTGGTGCTTGGTGTGAAGCTCACCTGGTGCTTGGTGTGCAGCTCACCTGGTGCTTGGTGTGAAGCTCACCTGGTGCTTGGTGTGCAGCTCACCTGGTGCTTGGTGTGAAGCTCACGTGGTGCTTGGTGTGAAGCTCACCTGGTGCTTGGTGTGAAGCTCACCTGGTGCTTGGTGTGAAGCTCACCTGGTGCTTGGTGTGAAGCTCACCTGGTGCTTGGTGTGAAGCTCAGCTGGTGCTTGGTGTGAAGCTCACCTGGTGCTTGGTGTGCAGCTCACCTGGTGCTTGGTGTGCAGCTCACCTGGTGCTTGGTGTGAAGCTCACCTGGTGCTTGGTGTGAAGCTCACCTGGTGCTTGGTGTGAAGCTCACCTGGTGCTTGGTGTGCAGCTCACCTGGTGCTTGGTGTGAAGCTCACCTGGTGCTTGGTGTGAAGCTCACCTGGTGCTTGGTGTGAAGCTCACCTGGTGCTTGGTGTGAAGCTCACCTGGTGCTTGGTGTGCAGCTCACCTGGTGCTTGGTGTGAAGCTCACCTGGTGCTTGGTGTGCAGCTCACCTGGTGCTTGGTGTGAAGCTCACGTGGTGCTTGGTGTGAAGCTCACCTGGTGCTTGGTGTGAAGCTCACCTGGTGCTTGGTGTGAAGCTCACCTGGTGCTTGGTGTGAAGCTCAGCTGGTGCTTGGTGTGAAGCTCACCTGGTGCTTGGTGTGCAGCTCACCTGGTGCTTGGTGTGCAGCTCACCTGGTGCTTGGTGTGAAGCTCACCTGGTGCTTGGTAGTAAAGTAGAGCAACTCCACTCCTGCACGAAACCCAAACCGCCGCCCTGCCGACATGTCCGTAACAGCAGCAACACCCGCAGCAAAGTACGGCGTGAAGAGCGCCGTGAGGGCGGGAGTCCACGCAGCCATGTCGTAGAATATGAAGCGGGAGACGTTGGCGTGCACGCGGTGGTACTCCGCCCAGGTCCACACCATGCCCGCGTCCAACGTGCCGTAGAGCGGCTGTGAGCACCACGTGAGGTGGACTGGGAGGGAGGCGTCCGGTGGTGGTTCCAGAGGCTGCAGTTGGGGAGATGGAGGGGGGGGGGGGAGGGGAGAGGGATGGGGATCGGGAGAGGAATCGGGAGACGTTGGCGTGCATGCGGCAGTAGTCCGCCGGTGCCCACACTGCCCCGGCGACTAACGTGCCGTAGAGCGGCTGGCAGCACCAGGTTAGGTGCAAATCTGCTGTCCTCCAAAACATTATAACTTCCTCCCCCGCATCCCACCTGCCCCACATCCCACCTGCCCCGCATCCCACCTGCCCCACATCCCACCTGCCCCACATCCCACCTGCCCCGCATCCCACCTGCCCCGGGCGTTCATTGAATACGGCAGCTTCCACGCCATCCATGGTCATCACCAGGTAGCCGCCTGCCCGGGACGTGTTGCCCCACAGCTGGCAGAACGCTGCTAGCGAGTCAGTCTGTAAGGGGGATGAGGGAAGGGGGTGTAGAGAAAAGGGGAGAGAGAGTCTGAGGGTGAATTTTTCTGGGTATTGAGTTGCTCTGCAGGGGGGACGGAGGTGTGGAGGTGAACAGAGGGAGGGGAAAGGGCTGGATAGAAAATTCGTGACTAGACGAGTCAGTTTGAAACGAGGATGAGGGGAAAGGTGCGAGAGCGGTGTGAGATGAAGCACCTGAGTTTTGGGGCCCATGAAGTCTCTGTACCACACTGAACCGTTCACTCTGCTGCCGTCTCGCCCCACCCATCTGCAGCCCTCCCCGTCCGTCATCCATGTGAAATTGAGGCCGCTTATAGCGAGTACGACGAAGCGAGAGGGGCTGACGCGGTAGGCGCTGGGGGATGGAAAAATGAGATGAGAGAGGAGTAATAGGGGGGGATGGAGGAGGGGAATGTGTCGGGTAGAGCAGAGGAAATGAGTGAGGGAGGAGGGTAAGATAAAGACCTAGGCAGGTGAGTCTGGTTATGTCCCACCTCGGCATACGATAATTATGGCCACAGGATTGGAAGCAGCACCTGAACTCGTAGAGGATTGTAAGCAGCACCTGAACTCCTAGAGGATTGGAAGCAGCACCTGAACTCGTAGAGGATTGGAAGCAGCACCTGAACTCGTAGAGGAATCCTCGCTGCTGGTAGGTTCGTTGCCTCCACTGCCGCGCTTCCGTCTCAAGCGCCCTCGCCACAGCCACGTCTGACTGATTACGCCTGCGCCTCGCTTCCAGTGCCTCCGTGTAGCGCTGCCCGCCGCAAGGGCACGCACGCACACATACGCACACACACATACGCACACACACATACGCACTCAGACGCACGCACAGTCAGGTACAGACAGAGGCACGCACGCAGAGAGCAACAAGAAGCGTGGGAGTGAAGGGATATTAGGGAATTCTCAAAGTACTCTCAAAATGCGCTTTGAAAGAGAAGCGCGGAGGGGCGGGCCGCTCCAGCGGTCGTCCGCAAGCACTGTCACCCCCATCCAGTCACACCGCATACCGCAACGCCCGCCACCCGGCACTATCCGCCAAACTGCATTATCCGCCACGCCGATAGTTGCGCCATCGCGCCATCACTCACCGATAATTGCGCCAGATTCTGCACGTCACGCGCTTCGTTCCACTGTTCCTCCTCGCCGCTCTTCCAACCGCCTTCTCCGCCGCTCGTCTCTCCGCCATCTCCGCCGCTCCCGCTTCCCGCATCGTGCGCTACAGCTACGGCGTCAAGTGCGGGGCAAGGGGCATTTCCGGTGCCGGCGGTGCTGTTTGAAGCGGCTTGGCGCGCAGTGGCGGAGGATGGAGAGGTGGAGGAGGAGAGGACGGAGGAGCGGAACCGGAGGAGCGGGGAGGAGTGGGAGAGGAGGAGCGGGGAGAAGAAAGGCGTCAATGCGTCCTGGACCATGGCCTGATTGACGAGAGACGGACGGGAAAAATAGGGGAAGGCGTGGTTCTTGAGTCCACTGGTAATCATTCTGGATTCTCAGACAGCGTCGATGCGCCGAACTGGCGTGGCTGCACTATAGCCTAGAGAGGAAGAGGAAAGCGCAAACATTTCCCTCGTCCCCACTGAGTGGAGGCGCGAGCTCGATGGGGGCGCTGATGTGCGCGTGAGCGCCTCTCGTCACAGTGGAGCAACGCATCGCCTGCCTGGCTATGCGGCACTGTCCCGGAAAAAAAGTCGGGCTAGCGGGGCGCCCGCGGGCTAGCGGGGCACCCGCGGGCTAGCGGGGCGTATATAGAAATCGGTCTCAATCATGTTGTAGCCTATTAGTGGCTTGTTCCTGGATCTATCCATTGATCTGAGTGACGCTTCGGCACGTACCCCGCACACTAGCAGCGTTAGCAGCGCGCCGAGCGTCGCGGTCGCGTGTACGGCCCACCTGTGCCGCGAGAGCTTAAATGGTGGACACGTCATCATCCTTCGATCCCAGGCCTGTGCTTTATGAATTCAGCAGAGGGAATGTGAGTGCTAGTACACACTAGTTAGTAGCGGCTCGAGTGTGAGTTAGTAACGGCTCGGGTATGAATAAAATGGCGAGTCTCTATGCCTTGCCGTTACTAAGTTGATGCTAAGGGTGAATCACTCAGTCAGCTGTTTACTGGAGGCACTGAAGCCGTGTGTTCCTCCAGCCCCTCTGTCCTATAGACGCGGATAGATGACCGTAGCACTACTGCGAATGGATCAGCAGGGGCACGAGGAGACGAACTTATCAGGTCCAGACCATACGCGAGCCGGCAGCACCGAATACCAGCCAGCAGCGGAACTTGGCCGTGCGCGCCTGACATGGTCGTAGCAAGATGCGCTTAGGGGGATGGTTAGGTTAGTCCTCGCGGTCGCGGAAGATCGTGAGTCGTCGTGACGTGGCTTATGTGAGGCAGGCGGTTTGATAACCACCAATAGTCGAGCATAACACAATCTCGTCGAGGGGGGGGGACCACCACCTCACCACATCACACAGCATTTGCAATCGCAGGCAGACAGCATGGATTTTGTCACTCCAGGAAGGTGGGGGAAAGCTGGCTGGGGGGGAATTGCAGAGTGACCATTTCGCGGGTGTCGCGTCGTGGTGTTTCTCGATGATCGAAGCGCGTGAATCGAAGAATCGCGCATGTGTGATTTTGGCGGGGTGCAGTTGCTGCTGAGTTGTCATTGGTGCGCAGGGATGGGTGGTTGCTGACATTGTCGCACGACGACGCACAAACCTTCAGAGTTTTGTCGCTGCTGCAGCGCCGGCATGCGAAGAAGGCAGGGAGTGAGCGTGAATACATGGAAGCCAAGAGAGCCCGAGCAGTGGTTGCCTCATGAGTCATGACACTCTTGCTCCCCCCCCTTCACTGACGGTGCCTGCAGTGAGATGCCGCAGTGTAGTAGCTGCGGCTGATTACCTGTAGTGAAGTATCAGGTTTGTAGTGGTGTAGTGCAGTGCGAGCAGTCTTACCAGTGGTAGCAAGTAGTGCGGCTGCAGAGTCCAGACATGTGTTGGTATTGAAACTCAGTAATAATGTTGTCCTCATCATTAGAGCCCGGCAGCATGCCCCGCCAGCTGCCCACTTATTATCATATCTCTGCCGGCAGCCGGTGATTTAAGTGGCAAATGGCTACAGTGCTGACTGCTATGGAAAGGGACACTTGCGAATTACAGTTGCACTGAGAATAATGATCAATTGACTGTAAAAGCCACTTGGTGAGGACTACTTCAGGTAACCTGCCAGCAGCTAGGGAGGTGTACAAGTTGGCAAGCAGCACTCACCACCACCCTCTGCTGATACCCTCCCAGGGAGGAAAGGCCTCCACCAGACAGTCTGGAGGAAAGGTCTCAAATCAGTCTGGGTTACGACAAAGCATTGTCCGACAACCTATGGTGGCTTTACAGAGCCCCCTAATGTCCCTCGAAACCCTCGCATGGCCGCAGAGAGAGACCCTCCAAGACTGGTGTGACGCGGATGTGGCGCCTAAAATGTCAGGCTGAGGGGACGATGAGGTATCTAGTAACTATAGCTTCTATGTTCAGGTAAGTCTGTCACAACACAAACCACATAAGAGATGTTAGCTAGTAACTCTCTCACGTGGTGCATTCAATGCTTCTGCTAATGTTTCTCAGGTTGAGGCTGAAGGGCAGATACGTTAGCTAGTAGCCTTAGCCTGTCAGCAATGGTGGTGCCCTTCACAACACAAGCCACACATAAGGGTAGAGACTCTCTAGCATGCTGCAATGCACCTGCAGGGTGCTTATGCTCCTCAGGGTAGAGGCTGCAGAGCAGAGGCGTTAGCTAGTAGCCGTAGCTGGTCGGCAATGGTGGTGTCCCGCACAGTCACACGTGGACCTCCCTAGAGTGGTCCCTTTTACTCCTAATGGCCCTTATGGTTCAGGCTGAGGGGCAGAGGCGTTAGCTAGTAGCCGGAGCTGGTCAGCAATGGTGGTGTCCCGCACAAACCACACATCAGGGTAGAGACTATATAGAATGGTGAGATGCTCCTGATGCTCCTGATGCTCCTCAGGGTAGAGGCTGCAGAGCAGAGGCGTTAGCTAGTAGCCGTAGCTGGTCAGCAATGGTGGTGTCCCGCACGAACCACACGTGGTCCTCCCCAGGCGGCACAAGGGTTTGGCAGTGCACGTTGACTGGGTTGACCACGCCAGGCAAATGGAAGTGCCGCAGCTCCGTGCCTGCGTTCAGCACCACACCGCCCTTCTCGGGCTCCCGTGCCTTGTGGATAGACATCACCTCTGTCTGAAGGGTGGAACGGGGGGATAAGGGGATAAGGGGAGGTCGGGGAGCGTGCATTTAAGAATGAGATGAGGAAATGGCACGCTTGCACCACGCTGCCCTTCTCGGGCTCGCGTGCCTTGTGGATGGACATCACCTCCGTCTGGAAGGGTGGATTGGGTGGATAAGGGGAGTGAACAAGGGGAGGTTGGGGAGCGTGCATTGAAGAATGAGATGAGGAAATGGCACGCTTGCACCACGCTGCACTTCTCGGGCTCCCATGCCTTATGGATGGACATCACCTCCGTTTGGAAGGGGGGGATTGGAGTGACAATCAAGGGGATGAGAAGCAAGGGGATGGGTTAGCAAGGAAGAAGAGTGTTGGTGGTTATGCGTTCAGCACCACCGCTGCCCTTCTCGGGCTCCCGTGCCTTGTGGATGGACATCACCTCGGTCTGAGAGGGGGAATGGGGGTGAGAAGCAAGGGGATGACTGATTGGTGAGGATGTGTTTGGCACAACACCGCCCTTCTGCGGCTCCTAGGCCACGTGGATGGACACCACCTCGGTGTGGAGGGTGGGAGATGGGATGACAAGTGCGGGGATGAGTTCACAAGAACGGGGAGTGATTGGTTGGGTGGGGAGTTTTTCCGCACCGCGCCGGCCTCCTTTGGTTCCCCTGCTACGTGGATAGACAAGACCGAGATTTGGAGGGGGAAATGGGTGGATAAGGAGAGTGAATAAGGGGAGGATGCAGAGCGTGCACTGAAGATGACATGACAAGAGAGGGGAACGAGAGCTAGAAGGGTAGATCTTGTAAGGATTTTATAACGAGAATGACATGACAAGAGAGAATCAGCTTCCGGTGGCCTTGCCAGTCGTCACACCGGTCCCCATCCATCTGCTGTTCTGCTCCACTGAGGGGAAAATGTGAACCATAAAGATGCATCTGGGAGCGAGAAAATGAGTCTCCTAGGAGGGAGCAGGAATCCTGAGAGGGCAGGGCGTGTCACCTTGCGGGGGTTGAGAATCAGTTTCCGATGGCCCCGCCAGTCATCACAGAGGTTCGAGTCAATCTGCTGCCCCTCCGCTCTGTCCCGCACGCACCACACCTCCGGCCGGCGGAACACCAGTCTGGACAGCACCTCAATGGCGCGCCTCTTCGCCTCCGCCACTGCAGCTTCGTCCCACTGCGCCTCACCACCCTGCATGCCGTTTCCTGCTGTCCCCGGTGCTGTCTCTTCGTGGCTGTTGCTGGCGTTCACTGCTGCTCCAGCCTCCCTGGTACCACCACCAGCCGCCACAGCAGCAGCGTCAGCAGGCGCCACCGCAGCAGCCCCAGCAGGCGCCAGTGCCCCCTCCCTTTCCTCTTGGCACATGGAGGGTTCGACAACGAGGGCGCCGTGGGAGAGCCAGGGGGCGTGGGCGTGGGTGGCTAGCAGCGAGTGCAGGGAGTGGGGAGGCACGGGGGAGAGGAACTCGTCGGTGTCGTGTAGAGTGACCCAGCGAGAGGTGAGGAGCGACCGGAATATGCAGTCGTTGCCTGCAAGGGTCTGGTGGTGGGAGAGGGTATGGGAGGGAAGAAGAGGTGTGTGCGGAATCAGGAACTAGAATGGGAGTGCACCCTGTGGCGGCACAGGGGAGAGGAGCTCGTCGGTGTCGTGTAGAGTGACCCAGCGAGAGGTGAGGAGCAACCGGAATATGCAGTCGTTGCCTGCGAGCGTCTGGTGGGAGGTGTAAGGTTTGTATATAAATAAGTATATGTACACATATATGTATATATGGATACGTGTACGTGTATGTATGCATATACAAAAGAGTTTTTATGCTTGAAAACAAGCTCAAAACTGTCTCCCACCGACCTGGTGTTTCGTGATAAAGCTCCCACCTCCCGACATGTCCTCAAAACAGTCTCCCACCTCCCACCGACCTGGTGCTTGGTGATGAAGCTCAGCGCCCCCTCCCCCGCATGAAACCCGAACCGCTGCCCTCCCGACATGTCTGTAACGGCCGCTATGCCGGCAGCAAAGTAGGGCGCGAAGAGTGCCGAGAGGGCGGGCGACCAGGCAGCCATGTCGTAGAAGAGGAAGCGGGAGACGTTGGCGTGCACGCGGTGGTACTCCGGCCATGCCCACACGGGCCCGGCGTCCAACGTGCCGTAGAGCGGCTGGGAGCACCACGTGAGGTGCACGGGGAGAGAGGCGCCTGGTGGGGGTTCCAAAGGCTGCGGTTGGGGGGGACAGACGGGAGAACATGAGAAATTGGGAGTGGGGGAGATGGGGGTGGGGGGCGGAAAATCGAGGGAAAGGGGAGGGGAGTAGAAGAGTGGCTGAGGGAGGCGTGCACGCGGTGGTACTCCGCCCATGCCCACACGGGCCCGGCGTCCAACGTGCCGTAAAGAGGTTGTGAGCACCACGTGAGATGGACAGGGAGAGAGGCGTCCGGAGGGGGCTCAAGGCTGCAGTTGTGGGGGGCGGAGGGTGGTGGCAAGGGCGATTGGGGAATGGGGAGGGGAAGGGGAGGGGGGGGAAAGGGGAGGGGAAGGGGAAGGGGAGGGGGAGGGTAAGGGGAAGGGGAGGGGAGTCAAAAAGTGTGGTGCTGGATGCGTGATTTTTTAAATTAATAAAGGAGTGAATCCAATCCTCGATTGGATTAGTTTGCCCCATACCCGCTGTCCTCCACAACATTTCACCTTCCCCCGCATCTCACCTACCCCGCATCTCACCTGCCTCAAATCTCGTCTCCCCCGGCCCCTCATTGAAGACGGCGGCCTCCACACCGTCCATGGTCATCAACAGATAGTTGGTGAGCCTTAGAGTCAACTCAACACGCATCCTACCTCCCCCAGTTTCCACCTCCCTCGAATCTCACCTGCCCCGGCTGCTCGTTGAAAACAGCAGCCTCCACACCGTCTGTTATAGTGACAGTAGGCTTCAATGTGCCTAAAACGAAAGATAGAGTGCACAGTCGGATTTCTGCACAGCGGCTTTAAACGTTCATAGCGTTCTGGTCACAGCTTCAAATGACCTGATTTAACTTGGATCTGGAGCGTCTTAACGTCGCCTACAATAGGCAATTTAGATCGCACGATTTCACCAAGTATTGACGACACAGCATTGGTTTGAACGAACGGCACTATGGCAGCCACTATAGTCTTAGAACACACAATAGGAAGAGTTAGGAAGAGTTACGAGTTGGGAATGACTCCCAGCTCCTACAAACCCCAAGAGCCGAGTTACAGTGATGTGGAACAGTGCCACACTGTCCCCAACCAAGAAGGGTCTCGAAACTACCCTCCACAAGGGTCTACACCAACATAAGTGTTACACTACACATTGTAATGTAACTATCTTCAACATCTTGAAGTGTACCCTTTTTGGCGAGCTTCGAAATCACTTGAGGCTTGACACCAAGGCTCTGGTTCTTCACCACAAACTCATCCTTGAGTTCTTCATGGGTCTGCTGCACACACCTGCGACACGCCGAACGTTCGACACAGGACAAAATAGGAACCGCGCAAGACACACAAGCGACAAGATAGAAACCGCGCGGGACACGAATAGCGATAACTCGCTATTGACTTGACACGCACACATTCGACATCATGACTCAACATTCACACACTATTATAAGCATGAAATATATATTATCTCATGCCCTCATACCATTCCATGCACACACGCATGCACGCACACGGACAACAAGCCGAGTGCAAACCGTAGGTTGCACCAACAAACTCCCCCTCGGATTGTTGGCCTTAGGATCTTGCTCTCTCAGTTCAGAGACATCCCAGCCAGCTTGCAGCACTTCCAATGCTGCTGCTCCACCAGCCTCTTGGTCATCATATCAGCTGGCTGCCCCGTCGTCTTCACATAGTGCAACTCAACTTCACCCGCGGCCACCATGCTCCTCGTCCAATGCCACTTCACCCTCATGTGCTTGGTGAGGCCATGCAACACAGGGTTCTTAGCAAGAGCAATGGCACCCTGGCTGTCACAGTAGAGAGGGGTAGGTCCTTGCTGCTCCTCCCCCAATTCAGCCAACAAACGCCGCTGCCACACAATCTCCCGCACGGCACGGAAGAGTGCCATGTACTCGGACTCCACCGAGCTCAATGCTTGATCAACCTGCTTCTTGCTCTCCCAAGCAGTTGGGCCTCCACCAACACAGCAAATGAACCCTCCAACACTTGTCATGTTCTCTGGTTCCGATGCATATGAAGCATCCGAGTAGGCGGTGAGGAACAAACGCCCGGGTTCTACACCATCCGCGCCCTTTTGGCGCCTTTGCGCCGCCGCCGAGTATTGCAGCCCAACGGTCGGTGTTTGGCCAAGATACTTGGCCACCCTCATTCCAGCTGCTACCTGCTCCTCATTAAGGCATTGCACAACCCTAGCCAGCTGCCCGGTAGCAAAGGCCACGTCCGGCCGAGTGTTTACCGCCGCATACATGAGGCTGCCCACCAACGAGTGAAAACGGCGCCTTTCCTCTTCACCAACGCTCTCCTCCTCTGGTCCCTTCACACACTTGAACCCAGAGGGAAAGGGAGTAGCCACATGGCCTTCACTCTGGCCAAAGTTGGCAGCCAACGCCTCCAGGTACTTCCGTTGGTGCACCCGCATGCACCGCTTCTCCACGTCTCGTTCGATGTGGAGCCCAAGGTAGAAGTTCACGTCACCAAGGGACTTGCACTTGAACTTGTCCTGAAGCTTCAGCATCACCTCCTTCACAAGGTCAGAGGAGGGTGAGAATATGAGAATGTCATCCACATAAACTACCATGAAGCTCCTCTGCTCTCCCTCGCCAAGCATGAACAAGGAGTGATTGGCCGTTGAGGGAGTGAAGCCGATCTCCTCCAACACTTCGCGCTGCTTCATGTACCATTGCCTAGGGGCCTGCTTCAGCCCATAGAGGGCCTTCTTCAGCTTCCACACTCTGCCACTACCATCATCAAACCCCTCTGGCTGCGCCATAAAAATCTCCTCCTCAAGGATGCCGTTAAGGAATGCCGTTACGATGTCCATCTGCTTTACCACCCATCCTTTGATGGCGGCTCCCGCGAATAGGGTTCGCAGCGTCGTCGGCTTCACCACAGGAGCAAACAGCTCCTTGTAGTCCACCTTCTCCTTTTGCTGGTACCCCTTGGCCACCAGCCTAGACTTGTAACGCTCGATCTTGCCGTCGGCGTCGGACTTGATCTTGAAGAGCCACTTGGACGTAATCGCCTTACGCCCCTCCGGTAGCTCCACCAACTCAAACGTGTCGTTCTCCTCGATGCTCTTCAGCTCACTCTCCATGGCCTTCTTCCACTCCTCAGCATCACTACTCTCCAAAGCCTCCTTGAGAGTTGCTGGTTCTCCCGGCATCTCCACCGGAGAGAAGAACGCGAAGGCACACTCATCGTAGTCACTCTCCTCGTCGTCTCCGACCATCATTGCCGCTCCGGCCAGGGCTGTCTTGCCCTGCTTTCCCGGCGCATCATAGGTCAGCCTATTAGGGGGTTGAACTCTCCTCTTCCCCCTTCCTTCCTCCTCAGATGCAGGGACTTGAAGGCCTTGGCGTTGCTGCGGTGTGGCTCGAATCCGTGGAGCACTTGTAGTACGGGAAGGGAGTGACGGTGCACGCTCGCTCACTTGCTGCACCTCCTCCTCTTCTTCCTCTGCATCATTGGCCTCCTCTCCCCCATTCACAAGGGAGGATTGCCTTGTGGTTGTGCTGCCGCTGCTCAGCTCCAAAGGCAGCTCCACATGCTCCAAACCGGAACTCTTCACCTCCCCAAACCGCACGCCTATCTTCGCCTCATTCTCCGCCTTCCAATCCTTGTACATGAAGTTCTCCATGAACTTGCAGTCCCTGCTCACCAAGAACTTCTTGGTGAATGGGTCCCAAAGAAGCCATCCCTTGCTGTTTTGAGCCATGCCCAAGTGCACGGCCCACACCGCCTTGGCACCAAGCTTGTTGTGCCGAAGATGCTTAGGCACGAGCGCCATGCACATGCACCCGAACACCCGAAGCATATCCACCTTTGGCTTCCTTCCAAGCCACTCCACATAGGGCACCCATTTGTCTGCTCCCACATGAGTCAAGGCTCTGTTCTTGGCCACACACGCACTCCGCACCGCATCAGGCCAGAAGTAGTCGGGTAGCCCGGCTTCAATGAGCAACCCGCGTGCCGCCTCCGTGATTGTCCGGTTCGCTCGCTCGGCGATGCCGTTCATTGCAGGGGAGTATGGCATGGTGAGGGAGTGCCTTATCCCATTCTTCTTCAGCCACAATCCGAAATCCTTGCTCAGGAACTCTCCCCCTCGATCGGTGCGGATCGACTTCACTAGACGGTCTTGTTGCCGCTCCACCATCGGGAACCAATCCGTCTTCAACGTTTCAGCTACGTCGCTCTTCTTGGCCAGCACGTACACCCAAGTCATGCGGGTGTAGACGTCCACAATAGTGAGGAAATACTCAGCTCCAGCAGCTCCAAGCTTCAGGGGGCCCACCACGTCCATCACCACCTCATCAAGCGGTGCCTTAGTCGTCGCCTCCGAACTAGAGAACGGGAAACGGGTGAACTTGGCTTGCATGCACGTCGGGCAGCCAAGTACCTCATCGGGCTCCCCCTTCACGCGTATGCCAGCAACCATCTCACCCTTGACTAGCTGCTGCAAGATAGGCAGGGCCACATGCCCCATTCGCCGATGCAAGGTGAGCCAATCACACTCCCCCGTAGCTGAAGTTGGATTGGAGAATGCCGCGCTCGCAATAGCGCCCCATATGCTCTCTCCGTTGTCCTCCTCCGCTGCTGCCTCGGGGTTCTTCTCACCCTTGTGCTGCTTATTGACTGCTGCACCACTCTCCTTAAGTTCACACAGCTTGCTGGTCCCTCCAAGATTGCACTTGTTGGACTCTTTCGCCTTGGCGCCATCGTTCGCGCCGTAGCCGCTACCACCCGCTTCACCCTTGGTGCTGACGCTTGCTGCCACTTGCCTCTTTTTAGGCATGGGGACCACAGGGATCTGCCACATCTCGTTGTAGACGTCCCTATCTTCGTGAAGGTCCCATAGAGTCCGCTCGCCAAGCCTCGCGGTGTAGGTCTTGGCTCCCTTCGAGTTCGTGTCCATGCCGGCCTTTGCCAATCGCCGCACGGAAATCAGGTTGGCTGCAAGGCTGGGCACCCAAAGCACGTTCTTGAGGCCCACCATCTTCCCATCAGCACCCTTGAACATGGCCTTGCCCATGCCTTTCACCTCTGCTCGCTGCCCCAAAGCCGATGTGACATGCTTCACCGGTGACGGTTCAAGTTCGGTGAGCGAGTCCGCGCGAGGTGTCATGGTATAGGTAGCGCCGCTATCGATCACCCAAAACTCCAGGGGGTGTAGGGTCACCTTTCCCACAGCTGCTGGCTCCTCAAAGCCTTCGTCCTTCTCGGGACCAGCCGGTACTTGCGTCGACACGAAGTAGAATAGACCCGGGTGCCGATCGTCGCTTGGACCCTTGTCGTTATCTTCGTTCTTCATATTTGCAGCACCGCCTCCGCGACCGCCACGGCCTCCACGGCCTCTTCCTCTCCCTCCTCCTGCTCCTCTACCCTCTTGGCCTTGAGCAGGGGTCCATCCTTCAGGGAGCTTGTAGCAATCGCGCCACATGTGTCCGGTCTTGTGGCAATAATGGCATTCGCCGTCGAATCGGCCGCGACCGCGTCCATAGCTCTTGTCGTCGCTGCCGTAACCGCCACTCCCGCGGCCTCTATTGAAGTTGTTGCTGCCAAATCTGCCTCCCCCTCGTCCTCTGCCTCTTCCACGGCCGTACCCCTGGCCGATGCTTGCTGCCCCGGCGCCAT